TCATAGGCCTCCTATCTTAGCTATTATAGTGTTGCGCCCACCTCACGGGCCTTCTATCTTAGCTATTATAGGGTTGCTCCCATCTCACGGGCCTCCTATCTTAGCTATTATAGTGTTACCCCTATCTCTCGGGCCTCCTATCTTAGCTATTATAGTGTCACCCCTATCTCACAGGCCTCCTATCTTAGCTATTATAGAGTTGCGCCCAACTCACGGGCCTCCTATCTTTGCAATTATAGTGTTGCTCCCACCTCACGGGCCTCATATCTTAGCTATTATAGTGTTACCCCTATCTCTCGGGCCTCCTATCTTAGCTATTATAGTGTAACCCCTATATCATAGGCCTCCTATCTTAGCTATTATAATGTTGCGCCCACCTCACGGGCCTTCTATCTTAGCTATTATAGGGTTGCTCCCATCTGACGGGCCTCCTATCTTAGCTATTATAGTGTCACCCCTATCTCACAGGCCTCCTATCTTAGCTATTATAGTGTTGCACCCACCTCACGGGCCTCCTATTTTAGCTATTATAGAGTTGCGCCCACCTAACGGGTCTCCTATCTTAGCTATTATAGTGTTACCCCTATCTCACGGGCCTCCTATCTTAGCTATTATAGTGTTGCGCCCACCCCACGTGCCTCCTATCTTAGCTATCATAGTGTTGCGCCCACCTCGCGGGCCTCCTATCTTAGCTATTATAGTGTTGCGCTCACCTCACAGGCCTTCTTTATTTGCTATTATACTGTTGCGCCCAACTCACGGGCCTCCTATCTTAGGTATTATAGTGTTACCCCTATAGCATAGGCCTCCTATCTTAGCTATTATACTGTTGCGCCCAACTCACGGGCCTCCTATCTTAGTTATTATAGTGTTGCGCTCACCTCACGGGCCTCCTATCTTAGGTATTATAGTGTTACCCCTATATCATAGGCCTCCTATCTTAGCTATTATAGTGTTGCGCCCACCCCACGGGCCTCCTATTTTAGCTATTATAGTGTTGCTCCCACCTCACGGGCCTCCTATCTTAGCTATTATAGTGTTGCGCCCACCTCACGGGCCTACTATCTTAGCGATTTTAGTGTTGCGCCCACCTCACGGGCCTCCTATCTTAGCTATTATAGTGTTGCGCTCACCTCACAGGCCTTCTTTATTTGCTATTATACTGTTGCGCCCACTTCGCGGGCCTCCTATATTTACTATTATAGTGTTGCGCCCACCTCACAGGCCTCCTTTATTTACTATTTTAATGTTGCGCCCACCTCACGGGCCTCCTAATTTAACTATTATAGTGTTGTCCCTATCACAAGGGCATCCTATCATAGCTATTTTAGTGTTGCGCCCACCACACGGGCATCCTATCTTTGCTATAATAATGTTGCACCCACCTCAAGGGCCTTCTTAATCTTTACTATCATAATGTTGCGCCCAACTCACGGACCTCCTATCTTTGCTATTATAGTGTTGCCCCTATCTCAAGGGCATCCTATCTTTGCTATTTTAGTGTTGCGCCCATCTCACGGGCATCCTTTTTTGCTATAATAATGTTGCACCAATCTCAACGGCCTCTTTAATCTTTACTATTATAATGTTACACCCACTACACGGGCCTCTCATATTTGCTATTATAATGTTGTGCCCCCTTTATTTGCCATTATAGAGTTGTACCCACCTCACAAGCCTCCTATCTTTACTATTTCATAATGTTAGGCCCACTTCACTAAATGTTGCCCGTTATACCTTAAAACGAAAGTAAACGTAGATGACGTCATCATATATTGTGTAGCCGAGTTCACGGGGCCCGACGAGATCACGGGCTTATAGACTTTCCCAGTTTATCAAAAACATCATCCTTAGAGAGTATATTCTGGGCACGATCGTTTAGAAGCTTTGCAATACTTTAAACTCTTTCAAACGCGCATCAGCTCGAGATTAGGTCCTGTTTACAAAATGGCGACTGGAAGTAGCAAGGCGGATTAAATTGGAATTTAAATTGCGTATATTTCGGCAAGTAAACATTGTTCACAAAGCCCATGTGATCTGTTCATCTAATTTAGTCAAGATGTACTCAGAACAGTCGTTGTTTAGTCGCTAGGGTCATTCACAAAATAATTAGTATTATTATATAAACTTATTGTAATAATTACAAGCTAACCGAAACATAATATATATAATATTCTCCTTGTCTACAACAGCAACCAAAATGAATAAATGGATTTAATAATGAAAATATATGTATCGACAAAAGGCAGACAGGTTTATGTCTTCCTTCGTCAAATATATATTCAAAGGTGCCTTGGAATTGAATAGAACGGTCTAGAAAGAAGCGTTTACATTTTTTTAAAACGTATCTCTCTAAAGACAGTGGTATGGTCATGTATGGTTATAGGGTTGGAATTTGAACTATTTTAATTTGATAGCGCTGTAATAAATTCCAAGAGTCAGGGGCTTAACCCTGATACCATATATCATGCCAAATATTATATTGTATAGCGCTGGTATTTCTACTTTTCCTAATGGATCAGCAGAACCACAATCTATCAGTTGCAAGAGAGTATTAAATGTCTTTTCATATCTAGCAAACAAAGATTTAATATCTCAATCACAGTTTCCATCAACTTTTATCTCTCGTAATTCAGTGTTGTAAGCTGGTCCATCAGCAGTCGATATCTATCACGGAAATCAATCATACTTTTCAGAGCAAGCTCTTATATATCGAATCAATTGCAACATGTAAACATTTTGTAAAAAGATCGAGAAAAGCAGCTTATGTAAAGGAGTCTGTGGTGTCCTTGATTGAGTTGTCGTTGGACTACAGTATATGTAATAGCACACTTCGTCATTTTCAGATCACAAATGGTTTGATCTAAGATGTCTTTTTATTTGGGTTGTCTGCCTGACAGTCTCACATGTAAGTACAGATATTTATTCTCTGCATAGTATAAGTATAGTTGATATCAAGATAGTGCGAAGAAGAAAATAACAGCACATCAAGTGGATCAAATTTAATATGATTCCATTCAAACATAAAATTTCAACATTTAAAACTATCCTATTAACAATTATCAACTGGCAGCACTTACATAATTTATAACTAGACAATAAAAACTTGAACGAAAACCCCCCAAATAAGACAGAATATTTTATCGGTCAAAATCACAGATTTTATCACGGACAGTAAATGGAAAATTGACACTATAAAACGAATAAGAATCATTGAATAGTACCCGAACCGTACCTCAGCACGTGTCCCCTAAACGTACTTAATATAAGTTTCAGAACCGTCCTTCATTAATGTGTAGCTGTCGTATACATGTACAGAGTACGCGAGTTCCTTCCTTTATACACTGACTTTCACTTAGTAGAAAGTTCGCATGTCTCAAGTTCTTCAAATTATTCTTAACCAAATAGTTGTTGCTTTCTACGAGGGAATACCATTTCATTTCAAACCTTCATGAGTTAAACAGTCAGTTCACGTAAAATTTCCATCCAGGTTTGTAATTTCACGTAAAAGGGATTCAAAACGATGATCTTAAGACAAAAGCACACCTATTAGTTTTGATCAAATTTCACGTGGTCCTGAAAAGAAAACACATTTTATATATTTGAGTAAGCAACTGTTAACCGAATCATTCTTTGAATATCTGGGTCTATAGCTAAATATAATAATTATGCTATAAGCATTTAATAGTCCACGCACTCTTTACAAAGGTGATTTTGTAATAACAATAAAGATTTTTTTTTTGTCTGTTACCCATGAGCCGTTTAATTAATATTCCAGATTATATTCTAAAGCATCGTGATACGTATATATACGCTCATTGATATTCATGGATCTATACAAATTAACGTACTTAAAGTCACTAAAATGAGTAATAAGACAGTTTAAAACATCATAATATAGTTAAGACTTAAACGATTAGATGCAACTGCAGTAATGCTATTAAAGAATCAACCCGGACAAGATGGTTCCTATTACAAATCTTTATATGGTTTCTTACTTTCCTGCTTTAAAATGATGCTTTATGGCATGTGAGCCAATAACATATACAGACACACACTACACACTGATATTACACAGCATCAGTGATGGGACAAACATGTCTTGATTACACTTTGATATACTGACTCATCACAGTAGCTGGTACGGAGGACGGATTTATATAAAATATAGTTCAGAAATATATGAAAATGCAGCATTGTAACAAAGAAATCAAATATTCGTTTTGCCCGTTTTGTTAAATAATCTAAGATAATAGAACAAATCAAAAATTAAAAAACTCTTTCAAAAAGATTTGATAACATCACAAACAGAGAACTGTATCTTTTCTACTTTTATCAAAAACTATGAAAAAGAAATAATCGATATACTGCTGGATGAATGAATTAAATTATCATCCTTGAAATTCCAGAACTTAAGAATTCTGCACCCCTGAAAAATGTCAGGACAAAATCGAAGGCTCCGTACGCGCCCCATTGTTGATGATTCAAATAGACTGGTTTGATCCTTAATGTACATAAAAAAATCGCGCGGCACTGTAACGGTAAAATTGACATTTGAAACCAATCAACCACGGGCCTTCGATTAATTCATTACATATTCCAGGGTTGCAGAGAACGTATTAGAGCGTAAAACATTGACTTCCGATTTTCGAGATATATAATTCAATAACCTGAAGTAGGAAAAGTTATAACCGAAATTACATAAACATTGTACTAATCAAAAACGCAAGACCCGCAGTGTTACCTAAACTATTTTAACTAAACATTTTAGTGCTAAAATATTTTTGTGGAATCCGAATCAGGAGCTGTTGGTTAACTCGCAGAGCAGTGTGCTACTCAGGTTAAACATTATAAGAAAATATATACGCTCTAATACGTTCTCTGCAACCCTGGAATATGTAATGAATTAATCGAAGGCCCGTAGTTGATTGGTTTCAAATGTCAATTTTACCGTTACAGTGCCGCGCGATTTTTTTTATGTACGTTAAGGACCTTAACATACATACATTAACTCTAAACATATATACATTAGTACGCTGATATTTGAACCAGGATTAAGCGTTACACCAATCCATAACATAGCGGTAATCATCAGTTAACATTTCAAAGTTAGTACAAAAATATTAAGGTATTATTGCAGTTATAACTACTGTTTAATAACGTAATAAAAAAATAGATATGGACGGACATGTAACCACATCATTAAGAAGGCGCCCGGTGTATAACTATATGTTAGTTATATGAAAACAGGTCTACTATATTCAACTGAACAACCATTTATTGCAAAACGATTTCTTATTTATATTTTACCTTTCTACGTCGAAAATAATAAAATCATTAAGAGCCAACTTTAGAAGATTCCTAAGTATCTCAAGTGATCTTGACTGAAACAGATGGCTTAAATTTTAACGTTTTCCATTTAACATATAACTCATTTACAATCACGATTATCTAAAAGTAGGCCAACTTATCATTCGTTACATTGCAGCAAAATTCCCTAAACAATTGGTCTATTTGCAAAAGCATGGTTAACAATAGTTCATATTACCAAAACCAAACATCGAAATTACCATGAGTACTGTGTATGGCGATAACGTCTGCTGATTTTCATTGCTCACCCATAAGTATGCCAAACGGACTAATGTTCATCGACAGTCTTCTTTCAAGTTTCGCTTCTTTTCCTGGTCCATCGTGTCACATGAATGTCAGAAGACCATTATGAGTGACAGTAGACTATCTACCCTGTCTTGGTATGTCACTCTATGGACTTAATTATCCATCGATCATATACTGTTTAAAATTTAAAATTTACATTGATGACTAAAATTGTGACACTTTATTATTGATATGCCAGGAATGGTTACAATTGTTCAATTGCTCTAAAACATAACAATTTTAGCAGACAAAGGTCAGCCAGTATGTCTGTAAAAACAATTCAATGGAGGAGAGTCAGTTTTATTATTGGTAATTGAAGTTTCTTTCTGATTTATTCTAAACCTGTCTTTGTTAATTCGAAATTCACATCTTTATAATGTTGTGAGCAATTCAACAAATATTCGACTGCCAAATACTTTTGTTTTTATTTTTCGATAACATTTCCCCCATGACAATATTTTCAAAAATATACCGTTACATCAAACATTCGTAGCGTTAGCCGAATCTTTAAATTGGTTTAATGAAAGCTTGACTTGAAAGCCTCTCTCCTTTTTCTTTGCCAGCGTAATACTACAACATAAATGTTATGCAACTGTTAAATCTACTGGAGATATACCTCCAGCTTGTTACACTGTGACGTTGAGCCTTTGACAATGGCCGTAGCAGAAAACCGTCTCAAATGTTAGCTGCCGAGATTTCACACAGTTTCCAAACGCCTTTGTCGTGGTTAGCGAAATACATGAAGATTTCCGCACAGTGATTCGTGTCATTGCATACACACTCGAAGTTGCAAGTGGTCTTTGAACCAGCTCCGGGGAACTCTTGTTTTGAGGAACAAAACCCAATATTTGCATGAAATACGTCCGTCTCTGCAGTCATCGGATATGCAATCTAGAAATTACAAATAATGAAAAGTTAGTACAGTAATAGAATATATTAAAACAAGCAAATAAGACAAGATAACATCTATATCTCGAGGCACATGCTTGAACCATTCACAGGTTGATATATTTAATTATTACACGATAGTAGGAATACCAAACTGAACATACACGAGCAGATTAACGGATTGAATTACAATTTTTCCTTCTGATAGAAAATCATGGCGATAAATGAATATGTGCGTTGTCTCAGATGACAAACATGTTGAGGACTGTTGAACGGCGCACACAACGTCGTGGCATTATATTAAGGCACCTTGTAACAGGAGAGCTAAAACGTACTTGAATCACACGCGAGCTGTCGTGTCGGTCACAGTACAGACCGTCTCCAGTAACATTCAGTGAAAACTTATCGATGTTAATTCCCAATAAGGTTGTGTTCATTCGTGCATATAGTACAGGGGGCGTGTCTCCTTGTACGGGCAGATCGAAGCACGTATTTGGGTCATTGTCCAGTGCCCAAGGCATCTGTCGAAGTAGAACACCGCCTGTGTCTCGAAAAATATCGAGATATCCGTCAACTAGAATCAAAATAAACAAATTTGTATGTGCAAGGTAAACAAATGAAAATGCACCAAGCATCATAGATTGACAAATTCTCTTCTATTGTCGAGAGCAAACATAAACTTTCAATGTCAAGAACAAGCACATATTTTCTTTCTAGTGAAGCGAGTAGTCACCCCTTTGTATAGTATCGACAACACAATGTTAGGTAGTGAATACATATTCCCATTTTAATGAAGAGAACAGACATTCCATTTCTAATGAAGAAAGAAGTTGTTCCCATTTTAATGAAGCGAGCAGACATTCCATTTCTAAAGAAGAAAGAAGTTGTTTCCATTTTAATGAAGCGAGTTAACATTCCCTTTCTAATGAAGAAAACGTATAATCCCATTTAATGAAGCGGGAAGACATTCCACTTCTAATGAAACAACGTATATACATTCATTTCTAATGTATCGTGAAGACTTTCAACTTTCAGTGTAGCGAAAAAAGCATTCCCCCTTCAATGAAGCGAGCACAGATGTATTTCTAATGTAGCGTTTAGACACCCCCCTCTGATGTAGTGAATAGACTCTCCCTGGCTTAAATGACAAATGGAGACTTTTCTTTATGTAGTGAAGAGGAATGTTACGCAGACTTCATACGATAGGACTACACTTAATACAATAATCACCACATCAGTGTTGCTGACACTCACATCACAATGTGTACCCAATATTATATGATCTCAGATCAAAGATATTTTTTTCTTTAAGTCTGTGGAAATCTAAGAAAGATGACTTTTGATATCGCCAAAAATCCGTATCCAAAAACCCTGATGTTAACCAGTAGATTATCTTAAATGATGTAATCTCGTGATTTCCTACACAATTATGAGTGCCTTTTGATAACGAATTTAGAACCTACGACTTGTATAAACGAAGTCGTGCTCTACGTTGCAAGTTCCTTGACAGCTAGCATCCACACCAAGCCGGACAAACGTGGTTAAGAAAGGGTTGGCCAATGTGTAGATGTCATGGGAACCGTTGTTGGAGCCGGCATTCCACTGTCAAAACGAAAACAGATTGCTAAAATGAAGAACTTATCGCCTTTCTTTGTGACTATCATAAAGCAGAGACAGAAAGTAATTAGTTATGGTGAATAACAAATAACTGTCATTTTTACAATCAATACTGCTTATTTATGTGATCAGCACATAATTGGAGGGAGACGTTCACTCAAGCAGATATATAGCAGTTTCCCAACGAGTGATGGTTGGCTATCATGTGTATCTAACGCGAGTTATGCAACTTTCAAATTGTATAAAAACACGGTGTTTACCGAGTGTCTTTTACGATTGAATATTAACTTACGAGAGTTATATACACATTAAACAACCATTCCGAGTTTTGGGAGTTTTTTCTCCCACAAAGTTTTGATATTATATCTAGAAAACCAGTTGTTTCATTGGGAATTCAATTTTCGTATTTCCGATCGGGAAACGATAGCAATAAACTTTGACGTCACAATGGAAGATGACGTCGTAAAGCATTGTTACTTGACGTATTTCAAATTAAAAGATTGACCAAAGAAATAACGTCTTGAGTTTTACTCACTACTGGATAACCAAAAATGTTAATTAATCTCTTAGAAGGTATCTCCAATCAGCTGGGAGAGAGGAAGCATAAAGTGGTATCGGGAGAAACTTGCTGTAAGTGCACATATCTCCATCTCTTTTATAGTTTAGCATGTAATGAAATGTAGGCCTAAAGCAATACCTATGACAAGTTCTTGTTTATTTCGAGACACACATATAAGGATATTCATTTTTTAACTTAAATGTCCATCAGTCCGATATATATGCTGTAACCATACAGTGCAATTGAAATGTTTACTTGGTTTCGCTTTCTGCAATAAATAGAAATTGTTTTTCTTCTTCGTATTTCTTGCTTTTATTTTTCAGAGGCAACAACCTACAAGCTTCAAAGACTCAACAACTAGTGGAGTTGCTCACACTACAAAGACAAAGCATGTCACAACGTCTTCACAATACAAATGACACTTGATGAAACGACGGTACATTTGTACTAACATTAAAAGACACTTAACAGGCTCAAAGGTATTTGTATTATAAACACTACATGTAATAACGGTACTCACATCCATTGGTTTGTTCACATAGGTTGTTCCATCGAGACTGGCCTTGAGTTTGAGGTCTGTCAGGGTATCGTTTGGGTTAGGGGATACGGCTACTGCCTCCACGATAGCAAGAGAAGGAAAGTAGGACTGTAACATGTCAGAAAAAACAAAGTTATATATGTTAGTAGTCCAGAAACGCTTAATTACAATGAAATATACTTAACAAAAATAGACAAGAATTATTTCAATAAAATCAACTCTACACTTTCTTATCCTTAGCTTTGGCCGAATCATATTTGAGCTAAAAAAATGCTGGTAGTTTAATTGTAATAAAGGCCGACATGTTATTCAAATAGAAAGTATAAATAAGATAACGACATCTTCTGAATGTTCTCGTATAATTTTTACTCAGTAAGGAGGATGCTGAAGTAGCGCATAACTTACGATAGCTTTTGTACAGACATCCAGCATGGCGACATAGACTTGGATGTCGCTATAGCTGACGCCCATACCAAAATGTGCAGTATCGTCGTCAACCACTGCCGACTCGTTCAGGTAGGTAGCTGTCATCTTAAGCGTGAACTTATTGTCAACAGGGTCGGAGCTAAATCCGAGGTTACATAGAGGGTTAATCTTAGCCAGGACCTTTTCGTAGTTTCCGTCTGCATCTCTGAAAGAACCAACGATACTGCCATATACTTTTCCTGCTCCAGTGAGGTTTATACTTAGTCAAACGTCTCTTAGAGGAAGTCTTGTCTTCATTATCCGAGTATTACAAATGAACGTGAGGTAACAGAGAACTAAATATATATTTCCTTTTTTATTGTTAAAACAAAACATTAAAGTGCACCCATATGTCCGCGTGACAGCATCACTTTTCAATTATAATTCAGGCTGGAGAAAAATCCCACTTGCTCAGTTATATATAATTACGATGATTATGAACTTCAGATAATACTTCATAACTCATTTGATAAGTTATCTGAATACAAATTTATTCCTTAATTAAATACGCACGTTGTTAACGTCGACTGGACGGAAATGAGAGCATTGTTGACACAGGGTATATTTTTGCCGATGTCGATAGCCTCAAATGCACAGATCTTGAAGAAGTTGTTGGAGATGTTGGAGGGGACAGGAAATTCGAAAGTCACGAGTCCAGGGTTCTTGCCGATCTCGGTCGTTACGTCAAGATATAGATCAATCATACTGCCGGTCACCAGACAGTTACTCGAACACTTGTGATACATGTTGAAGGAATAGGCCACGGGACTCTGTACAAGAAGTTAAACAAAGTATGAATAAGTGTTCACAATATCAATAATAATTAAAGTGTTTGTGGCGTTTTTCTGGCAATCCCACTTAAGCTAAAAAAGGCTTTTGGTTATAATTTTGAATATATTATGATACCTGTTGAAGGAGTAGGCCACGGGACTATGTACATGAAGTAAAACAAAGTATAAATAAGTTATCGAAATATCAAAATTTATTAAGGTGTTTGTGGGGTTTTTTGGCAACCCACTTAAGCTAGATAAGGCTTTTGGTCATAACTTGGTGTAGTTGCTTTTATGTTTGCAACTAATGGGTATTTGTGTGATTAAAAGAACAAGAATGTTTGATAGAAGCCAGTCTGTGGTTATATCTTCAAAATCAATTCAAATGTCTCCATTTTTTTAGTTATTCTCGTTATCAGTAGCGCAGAGGTATAAAAGGAGTAAAACTCATTACAGGAACTTTCAACGTGATAGACCAAAGCACCATCAATAGTAAATAATGTTCTGCTTATTGTGATACTCACATCGTACGTCATGGTACCTCCAATTGTAAATGTGCCCTGCACCACCTGTGTCACGCTCGTGTCAACGTTAGTTACGGTCAGTTTGAGGATATAGGTCTCTGTGTCCTCAGCGAATCCAGGCATGGCAAGTCCTACTACTGCGATCTCTAGCGTGTCATCGTACGCGCCTGACGTCATACCGAAGTCGGTGACGTTCATATCCATAACTCCCTTGTCGATGAAGCCGTTGGCAGGATTCGACAAAGTATAGTCTGTGCTCGTGTCGGGGCAGGGGACGTTACTCCCAGCGTTAATAATGGCGACAGAAATTGTAGCAAGGCCAGGGACTTTGATGGCACCCTGGTGAAGTGTTTCAGCCTTGAGGTTGTACCGCGCGGAGGACAGTGCCTGAAACGTCAAGTTTACCTTGAACGTCGCCATGCCCCCGATAGGAACGAGCGCAGGGTCGGGCGTCTGAGCCACAGCTGTAAATGGCGCTGTCTGTAAACAAAAAACAAAATATAAAACAGGAAACCCTACAAATAGTACCTTAACTGTCAATAACAATCACCAATGTTGTTTTTCTACAGAGCCGTTATAGGTTCGTATTGTGATCCACTCTGCATAGTTGGAATTCCCCTCATTTCATTCATACAATGCAGATTGAATGTTTATTAAGTTTCGAATGGTTAAGAACATGTTTTATGCAAAATATGAACTAGGTTTTAGATATTAGATAGGAAATTGCTCCTCTCATGGAGCCTGAAGACTCGTTCAATATATTTCATTGTAAACAAGTTAATTTACAGGGATCCTGGCGACAGACCGATGAACCATTGACTGTATCGTATCAATTTTGCTTCATTCGATTTGTGCTGTTTTAATTATTTCGAAATTAGGTCAATATTCTATTTCCGTTTTGTTGCAATTTCAATTAGCGTGGCCTCCAGGACAATGATCCCTTTAGTTTTACAAATATGTTTTTTTCATCAGATGTCAAAAAAAACCTCAATAGTACCCACAGCTTTTTAATTCCATTATCCCTCGTATACATTTACATATCGTTTGCATATGACGACACGAAAACATCTCATATATTTCAAGGTTATAAAATGACCTCACTTAGAAGTTATTAAATCTATGGCGGCTTTGTATTGCAGGTTAAGTTAAGAAATTTCAACATAGATTTTCTGAAAAATTTACACTCGCTCGCATCTTATATGCTTACATGCTTGGCGGTATTGAGCTGACTTACGTTTGTCCAGAACCTATATCAATATCAACACTTTGTATATATATAAACATGCACTACTTCTATTTATACGAACAAACATATCTAAACCAGACAATGGCAGTTTATAAAACAGAACTGTATAGCTAAAAGGGAAAAGTCTGCATATCTAAAACCAATACTATAGGTACTCTCCTAAATCTAATGGAATTAAATAAGACTGAACATTCATGGTTTACTCCAGAAATAAATCCATGTATATATGTATCGAAGACTTACCGATGCTACTGGAGGTCCGGCTGTGATGTTGGTGGAGGCCACCCAGACCTCTGTCGTGTCGATCTCTATTCCCGTACCTACGGAGTATACGTCACCAACCACTGCATCGGTAGCCAGGAAACACGTCACTCGAACCTTAATCAAGTCTGCAGCTGTGGCGACAGCTCCCTGGTTAGCACCTGTTGTTTGTAAACGGTATATAAACGCAGCGGTGACTACGTTATTTACTACCAATCAACGTCATTATTTATCTTGTTACAATGACAATATGAATACTGTACCGAAACCAATATATACAAGTGTAAATGCTCCATGTTTGTCAATGTAATTCATACCGAAAATAGTAACAACAAAAGCAACTTTGAACGGTATTAAGGTAAAATATATTAACCAACGTCATGTAAACCGACAACTGTAACGGTAAAAAGTCATATGTACGAACCAAAAAATGGTACTAACGTCATAAACACTGGCCATGACAAACAAGCCTATAAACACCAACAATGGTAAAAATGTCATAAACACCGACAATGGGAAAAACTACATAAACGTAGATAAAGGTAAAAAAAAGTCATAAACACCAACAATGGTAAAAACGTTGTAAACACCGATCATGGTAAATATGTCATAAACGCCGACAATGGTAAAAATGTCCTTAACGCCGACAATGGTAAAAACGTCATCAACACCAACAATGGTAAAAATGTCCTTAACGCCGACAATGGCAAAAACGTCATAAACACCAACAATGGTAAAAATTTCATAAACACCGGCAACGGTAAAAACTTCATAAACACCGGCAATGGAAAAAATATCATAAACGTCGATAATGGTAAAAACGTCATCAACACCGATAATGGTAAAAACGTCAAAAACACCAACAATGATAAAAACGTTGTAAACACCAACAACGGTAAATATGTCATAAACACCGACAATGGCAAAAACTACATAAACGTAGATAAAGGTAAAAAAATGTCAAAAACACCAAAAATGGTAAAAACGTTGTAAACACCGATCATGGTAAAAACGTCATAACGCCGCCAATGGTAAAAACGTCATAAACACCAACAATGGTAAAAACGTCATAAACACCGATAATAGTAAAATTGTCATAAACACCAACAATGGTAAATATGTCATAAACACCGACGATGGTAAAAACGTCATAAACACCAACAATGGTAAAAATGTCCTAAAGGCCGACAATGGTAAAAACGTCATCAACACCAACAATGGTAAAAGTGTCATAAACGCCGACAATGGTGAAAACGTCATAAACACCGACAATGGTAAAAATGTCCTAAAGGCCGACAATGGTGAAAACGTCATAAACACCAACAATGGTAAAAATGTCATAAACACCGACAATGGTAAAAATGTCATAAACACCGACAACGGTAAAAAGGCCATAAATGCCGACAATGGCAAAAACTACATCAACGTAGATAAAGGTAAAAAATGTCAAAAACACCAACAATGGTAAAAACGTTGTAAACACCGATCATGGTAAAAACGTCATAAGCACCGATAATGGTAAATATGTCATAAATACCGACAATGGTAAAAACGTCATAAACACCAACAATGGTAAAAATGTCCTAAAGGCCGACAATGGTAAAAACGTCATATATAAACACCGGCAACGGTAAAAATGTTTTAAACGCCCACAATGGTAAAAACGTCATAAACACCGGCAACGGTAAAAATGTCATCAATACCGACAATGGTAAAAACGTAATAGAGACCGACAACGGTAAAAATGTCATAAACACCGACAATGGTAAATATATCATAAACACCGGCAACGGTAAAAATGTCATAAACGTCGATAATGGTAAAAAAGTCATAAACACCGATAATGGTAAACACGTCAATAACACCGACAATGGTTAAAACGTCATAAAGACCGACAACGGTAAAAACGTCATAAACACCAACAATGGTTAACACGTCATAAACACTAACAACGGTAAAAACGTCATAAACACCGACAACGGTAAAAACGTCATAAACACCGACAATGGTTAACACGTCATAAACACTGACAACGGTAAAAACGTCATAACCACCGACAATGGAAAAAACGTCATAAACACCGACAATGGTTAAAATGTCATAAAGACCGACAATGGTTAACACGTCATAAACACTAACAACGGTAAAAACGTCATAAACACCGACAACGGTAAAAACGTCATAAACACCGACAATGGTTAAAACGTCATAAAGACCGACAATGGTAAAAATGTCATAAACACCAACAATTGTAAAAATTTCATAAACGCCGGCAACGGTAAAAACTTAATAAACACCGGCAACGGAAAAAATATCATAAACGTCGATAATGGTAAATACGTCATAAACACCGATAATGGTAAAAACGTCATAAACTCCGGCAGCGGTAAAAACTTAATAAACACCGACAACGGTAAAAATATCATAAACGCCGACAATGGTAAAAACGTCATCAACACCAACAATGGTAAAAATGTCCTAAACGCCGACAATGGTAAAAACGTCATCAACACCGACAATGGTAAAAATGTCATAAACACCGACAATGGTGAAAACGTCATAAAGACCGACAATGGTAAAAATGTCATAAACACCAACAATGGTAAAAATTTCATAAACACCGGCAACGGTAAAAACTTCATAAACACCGGCAACGGAAAAAATATCATAAACGTCGATAATGGTAAATATGTCATAAACACCAACAATGGTAAAAACGTCATAAACACCAACAATGGTAAAAACGTCATAAACACCAACAATGGTAAAAATGTCCTAAACGCCGACAATGGTAAAAACGTCATAAACACCGACAATGGTAAAAACGTCATAAACACCAACAATGGTAAAAATGTCCTAAACGCCGACAATGGTGAAAACGTCATCAACACCAACAATGGTAAAAATTTCATAAACACCGGCAACGGTAAAAACGTCATAAACACCGGCAACGGAAAAAACGTCATAAACACCGACAATGGTTAAAATGTCATAAAGACCGACAATGGTTAACACGTCATAAACACTAACAACGGTAAAAACGTCATAAACACCGACAATGGAAAAAAACGTCATAAACACCGACAATGGTTAAAACGTCATAAAGACCGACAATGGTAAAAATGTCATAAACACCAACAATTGTAAAAATTTCATAAACGCCGGCAACGGTAAAAACTTCATAAACACCGGCAACGGAAAAAATATCATAAACGTCGACAATGGTAAAAACGTCATCAACACCGATAATGGTAAAAACGTCATAAACTCCGACAATGGTAAAAACGTCATAAACACCAACAATGATAAAAATGTCCTTAACGCCGACAATGGTAAAAACGTCATCAACACCAACAATGGTAAAAGTGTCATAAACGTCGATAATGGTAAAAACGTCATCAACACCGACAATGGTAAATATGTCATAAACACCAACAATGGTAAATATGTCATAAACACCGACAACGGTAAAAAGGCCATAAATGCCGACAATGGCAAAAACTACATAAACGTAGATAAAGGTAAAAAATGTCAAAAACACCAACAATGGTAAAAACGTTGTAAACACTGATCATGGTAAAAACGTCATAAACACCGACAATGGTAAAAATGTCCTAAAGGCCGACAATGATAAAAACGTCATATATAAACACCGGCAACGGTAAAAATGTTTTAAACGCCCACAATGGTAAAAATGTCATAAACACCGGCAACGGTAAAAATGTCATAAACGTCGATAATGGTAAAAAAGTCATAAACACCGACAATGGTAAACATGTCAATAACACCGACAATGGTTAAAACGTCATAAAGACCGACAACGGTAAAAACGTCATACACACCAACAATGGTTAACACGTCATAAACACTAACAACGGTAAAAACGTCATTAACACCGACAATGGAAAAAATGTCATAAACACCGACAATGGTTAAAACGTCATAAAGACCGACAATGGTAAAAATGTCATAAACACCAACAATTGTAAAAATTTCATAAACGCCGGCAACGGTAAAAACTTCATAAACACCGGCAACGGAAAAAATATCATAAACGTCGACAATGGAAAAAACGTCATCAACACCGATAATGGTAAAAACGTCAAAAACACCAACAATGATAAAAACGTTGTAAACACCAACAATGGTAAAAATGTCCTAAACGCCGACAATGGTAAAAACGTCATCAACACCGACAATGGTAAAAACGTCATCAACATCGATAATGGTAAAAACGTCAAAAACACCAACAATGATAAAAACGTTGTAAACACTGATCATGGTAAAAACGTCATAAACACCGACAATAAACGTCGATAATGCTAAAAAAGTCATAAACACCGATAATGTAAACATGTCAATAACACCGAAAATGGTTAAAACGTCATAAAGACAGACAACGGTGAAAACGTCTTAAACACCAACAATCGTCAACACGTCATAAACACTGACAACGGTAAAAACGTCATAACCACCGACAATGGAAAAAACGTCATAAACCCCGACAATGGTAAAAATGTCATAAACGTCGATAATGGTAAATATGTCATAAACACCGGCAACGGTAAAAATGGCATAAACACCGACAATGGTTAAAACGTCATAAAGACCGACAACGGTGAAAACGTCATAAACACCAACAATCGTTAACACGTCATAAACACTAACAACGGTAAAAACGTCATAAACACCGACAATGGAAAAAATGTCATAAACACCGAAAATGGTTAAAACGTCATAAAGACCGACAACGGTGAAAACGTCATAAACAACAACAATCGTTAACACGTCATAAACACTAACAACGGTAAAAACGTCATTAAAACCGACAATGGAAAAAATGTCATAAACACCGACAATGGTAAAAACTACATAAACGTAGATAAAGGTAAAAAAATGTCAAAAACACCAACAATGATAAAAACGTCATAAACACCGATAATAGTAAAAATTTCATAAACACCGGCAACGGTAAAAACTTCATAAACACAGGCAACGGAAAAAACATCATAAACGTCGATAATGGTAAAAATTTCATAAACACCGACAACGGTAAAAATGTCATAAACACCGACAATGGTAAAAACTACATAAACGTAGATAAAGGTAAAAAAATGTCAAAAACACCAACAATGATAAAAACGTCATAAACACCGATAATAGTAAAAATTTCATAAACACCGGCAACGGTAAAAACTTCATAAACACAGGCAACGGAAAAAACATCATAAACGTCGATAATGGTAAATATGTCATAAACACCGACAATGGTAAAAACGTCATAAACACCAACAATGGTAAAAATGTCCTAAAGGCCGACAATGGTGAAAACGTCATCAACATCAACAATGGTAAAAATTTCATAAACACCGGCAACGGTAAAAATATCATAAACGTCGACAATGGTAAAAACGTCATCAACACCGATAATGGTAAAAATGTCATAAACTCCGGCAACGGTAAAAATGTCATAAACACCGACAATGGTAAAAACTACATAAACGTAGATGAAGGTAAAAAAATGTCAAAAACACCAACAATGATAAAAACGTTGTAAACACCGATCATGGTAAAAACGTCATGAACTCCGCCAATGGTAAAAACGTCATAAACACCAACAATGGTAAAAACGTCATAAACACCAACAATGGTAAATATGTCATACACATACAATGGTAAAAAAACGTCATAAACACCAACAATGGTAAAAATGTCCTTAAGGCCGACAATGGTAAAAACGTCATCAACACCAACAATGGTAAAAGTGTCATAAACGTCGATAATGGTAAAAACGTCATCAACACCGATAATGGTAAAAACGTCATAAACTCCGGCAATGGTAAAAACGTCATCAACACCGATAATGGTAAAAACGTCATAAAGACCGACAACGGTAAAAATGTCATAAACACCAACAATGGTTAACACGTCATAAACACTGACAACGGTAAAAACGTCATAAACACCGACAATGGAAAAAACGTCATAAACACCGACAATGGTTAAAACGTAATAAAGACCGACAATGGTAAAAATGTCATAAACACCAACAATGGTAAACACGTCATAAACACCGACAACGGTAAAAACGTCATAAACACCGACCATGGAAGAAACGTCATAAACACCGAAAATGGGAAAGTAATACGAATATTCAATTGTTAAATCGTCATACAAAGCGACAATGGTAAAAACGTCAAATAAACCAACAAACTTCATGTCAATCAACAGTGTTAACAACCATATACTCACCGTCTTTATAATAACAATTGTATTGACAATTATAGATCAGAACCAATGAACGGGAAAATCAAAGCACACTTTTCAAGGTTATTTCCACCTTGATAATATAGCACATTTCGCTGTCTGCACTGTCGTTATTAATTTTCTCCTTACGCATCTAACGAGCATCTTCTTTCGGATCCAACTCTCAGATCAAGCTATGCCGATGCTATTGTTTACAAGATGACAGGGGACTAACTTTACCTTTATTTGGTACTGTGCCGATGTTCAGCCGGATGCGATTCTTGCCGGGGGTTTCCGTGTCACAGCTCAGGTCGATATCCTGGAGCTGCTGATAGTCAAACAGGAAGTCGTAGTTAGTTCCGGCGGCCACCACATTCACCGCCAAAACTGTGAGCTTGCCATCTGCAGCAAGACTGACGCCCTCCGCAGCATATGAGGAGAATGGATAAGGAAGCCAAGCATCTATATCTATGTTGAATATGGAACCGACTGGTTCGGTCGGAGTAACAGGGGTTATCAGAGTAAACTCGGGAGTTTTGCTAATGGTCTGAAAACAAGTATTAAAGTAACACTGGTTTATCTATTTGTCTCTATATGTCTAATAATATCTATGTAATATAATCATAAAAACCAAACAAATGAAACCAAGATAAAAACAAAACACGTGACATAGTAAGACTCTTAAATAATGAAATTATGAAAATTAAAGAAATAGAAACATAATCTCCATTAACACGTGCGCATGCTTACCATCTGTTCATGCTGGATGTTGTAAGACACCTGCCCGATCCAAACATTGTAACTGTTGTTGTACTCCACTCCTTCGCTTATCCAGTACACGTCATTGTCTGCGTACGATCCGACACTAACAAGTATGGCCTCCCACTCCAGACGGAGAATGCTGTCCTCAATATCGTTGGTGGCGTCTATGTTTGTTACATCGCCTAGATCATAAACGCACCTGGAGTCATACTGAACCGACAGCTATAATATAATAAAACAGCACTAGTTACGTTGACACCGTGTCGAACAATATACATAATTATAATAACACTATATCACTGATTTTATATACACGCCCGGCGATTTCTTTGCATAAAATATATATATATATATTTCTTGCATGCGTTGAAACAGGGAAACTATGCAGTACTTTGTTTTGATCGTTTTCGATAATCGGGTTTCAAACGGTTTGACCGGTTGGACCAGAATTGTTAGTTTTTGGAAGACGAACGGACCGTGATTTGATGTTTCATTCTGTCAAGCTTTGGTAAAGGTTTTCAAGGCCTGCATTAACATTTGCTGGATCTTCAGGCTTTACTTCTGAACAATTTTGCAATACATTCTGTTTTAAAATCATGTATGAAGGGAGCAATAAAAGGCATAACTTATGTGTAGGGATTGTCTCCCTTTGCCTTATTCCAAATCATATTAAAACAACCATTTGCTTCAAAAATGAACAAAGGATACAATTCTATGATTTGATGGACGTGAAACTAACTTTCATACGATTCTCTAACTCCTCTTTATATAGTCAGTACCCAACAGTTGACCACCTTCCAAAGATATACAAGTGTAGCAATGTTGATGAATGAATGTGAAATAGAAAGATTGTATGCTCCGGTATAACTTGGGGCCTTAAACTCTGTATACAGTGGGTCAGGATACCTGATTATGCTACGCGACACTCAGCATTCCAAAAGAACATAAGAGCAGGTTTGGTGAACGTAGGTGAAAATCAGGGGAGTTATAGACAAGTGAAACTTTGTTGACGCCAAAGCATCCAGCCAGCAAGCCACCAGCAAGTCAGCCAGACAACGCCATACCTCAAAACGCCCCGTCATATCATGAAACTTGATATATTTATCGTTCATGGTAAAATGATTACAACTTCAAATGGGTTGGTTCATAGAGTTAATACAAAACGCAAAGAAAATATACAGTTGTAACACTACGTAAGATAATGAAAAACGTCAAACACCAGGAAAGTGGATATGGAGAGAGAACCACCACCCGTTGGGTCCGAGAGATTTACAAAATTTACCCATGCAATGACCAAACATGTAATGGTAGCGAATTGGGCCTTGTATGTTGACAACTTACCCCTGCATTTGCCGGAACTTTGTAGCAGGTTGGAGTCGGGATGGTTAAGCCGAGGTTGGCTCCATTTTGTTTTACAACAACATCACCCATTATTGCTATAACTTCATCGATGGAGGGGAGGAGTTCAATTTTGACGCTCGTGGACAGACCAGGGGGAAACTGGATCTCCAGTTCAAGTTTGGTCAAAGAACCTTTGTACAAGTCACTGGTCAAATCGTACGGAGATGCAACCTTGGTGGAGGGAGTCATCACGGGTGGCGCCGCCGCGCCCCAGCCTGAAATTAGATTAAGTAGGTCATGTTTAGAATAATCTGGTGAAATTCGAAACACAGGAAAGAGTAGTTAATTATCAGTGATTTCAATTTTATTTAGAATATTTTTATTTTTTTCGTAGAATACATGATTATTTTCCAAAACACTACAGTTGACAAACAGATACCAAATACACACCTTTAATTGTACCTGGGGATACTATACTATATCTTTATCTTGTTAACTTAAACACTTATGTTTTTTGTTAATAAAGTTAGAAGCGAGAATACGGGTATTCTTTGCAGTTCTCTATGAACATTTGTTTTTCATGCAATGGCATACTATGCAGACACATAAATGACTTGAATTGATTGATGACTACTTACTTCGTAACATGATGCAGAGAGGTTAGTAAGTAAAGATTGTACACATGTTCATATAGAACAAAAAAAACAAAATGTTTATATGTGACATTTCGATGACTAGTACGATATGTACTCTGTCACTATGTACTATGCCACCTTCATCAGACACATTACCGACTACGTGTACGTACACTATACTAAGGTTTAACGTGTACGTACACTATACTAAGGTTTAACGTGCACGTACACTATACTAAGGTTTAACGTGTACGTACACTATACTAAGGTTTAACGTGCACGTACACTATACTAAGGTTTAACGTATGGACGAGTTTGCAACACACAGACCGCCGTTTATCCGGCATCGCTTTAATTTTATATGCCTACATTTTCAAAAATATGAATTTGATCATCCTCGATACTCAGGGGTAACATTCACTGTCGCTCTCTTCACCCCTGGAATATGTCATAGTAAAATCGAATGCTCAGCATGCACCACCTTAAGGATGAGACGAGAAGATAGTTTGATCCTTTAAAATCTGTCGGTCTCGTAATCATCAAAGGACAGATATTAGCCTCTGCGATTGGTCAGGTATTTGTACCTGAGGCCAATGCAATAGCTAGTTGCGAGCCTTCAAATATGATTTGACATATTTGAAGAGTGCAGAGGACAAAAGTGAGCGTAACCTCGAGGATGGAATTTGGATTACCAACAACAATAGCTGTAAAGTGGTAGACGCAAGGTAACAAAATGAAACGAAAACATATAATTGTTTCATAATAAAGTTTAAAATTCGTTATACGATTGTAATAGCTTCTGTTAGCTCTTAACATCTGCGTTCTCAATGTGCCCGGTCAGACGGAAATTACACATGTAATAGTCTTCATTACTTAAAGACAGACGAATTACAATAACATTATCTTTGCTATGCTTTTCAGGTAACACAACACCCAGTATACGATACTTGCCTCCCTTCACTGCAGGTCATCTCAAGTGTGAAACGTCAAGAACAGTGAGGTATACATGTTTAAAACAAAAGTTATTCGTTCTCATAACGTTGAATATTGATTCCATGTGCTACCTAATATGGGTTGTATTATCCTCAATCACTCGGATGTAGTATGTTGAGACTGCCAAACACATTTATCAAAATATTTTAACGTGCGATGTGAATACAAAATGGGAGAATTTGACTAACTGCAGAGCAGATCATATTGAAATTTATATATAATCTTTTTATTGAATGTTCGTTGCCATGGACCATTTTTTGCAATCAATCATTCTGGACACAGTTGTTGTGTCTATAAGCATAGCATGCGTACTTATATTGTGCCAATATTACTTAATTCAATTAATACACAATTATTATTGCGGAGGATTAATACTAGCAAAACAATGTAAAATTTGACAATGTTAATCTGGTAAGTTTCATGGTAAAATAAAACAGTCGACATTTGTTCGTTGCATTGAGTGCAATTAAATAGAAAATAAAATATTTATTGTAGTTATAATAGTTAGCAATTAACATGTGTGCTAACCTTAATTTTATACATTGTTGATTTTGTGTGATACCAGTGTTTTTTGTAAGGTGTAAGTTTTACGCATTCTTTGAACGAACTTGTGTCAGCAAGTCATCAAGACAAAATATGGCACCGCAGGTTGCCCCGCTTGGAAAAAAGTGGATCAACGCGGGTAAAACTTGAAAGTCAAGCTGCTATAAACGAGTTGTGTCTGAGGTTGACGTTGTTGGTGCGTGTTGACCTCACAGTGTTGAACCAGGAATATCCAGAGTACGTAGTGACCTTGGGTAGGGCGATTTTCGGTAGACATGTGGAACAATGAAAATATACGGTGGTGTAATAATAATACATGCGTGTTGTACCCTGAAGGCTCCGGTACCAGCAAAGCGTGACTATAGCGACAGACAGAGAGTTTTTTCTTCTTCAGAAATCAACATTAATGTATGCATGTTTTCTTCTGGAATATAAACAAGGGCCAGGAAATATAAGGGAAATCTGCAATGGCCGTTTCTGCCAGAGATAATTTCCCCCAACATTCACTAACCTCAAGTGTACAGGCATATGATGATTATCTGTACTACATTGTACCACGTGGAATTGTAATAGAATATTCGTTTGTATCTGATTTAGTGCCTGTCCAGTCAATGTAGTCTTACTAGCTTGTGTTATACTCTTACCTTGACGTTTTTGGGGCTGTGTTTCAAATTCCTCTGCAAACATTGTGTAGCCTGTTAATTTGCTGCAGGTGCAGTGTGCACATTGAATCTAAGGTTGATGGTTCATTCCTCTAGGTATTTGTTAGTTTGTACATTTTTTGCATTGTGATTCACAATCTTTCTTCGAATGAGTATTCTGACATATTGATATATCTATATAGAATGCAATTAGCTGCACTATGTTTGACGATATCTCCTATGACGTCGACGAATATGAGGGTATTTGTTAGATGACAGGTCACCGTTTCGCCGTAGATATAACTCATGATGGTACTTACGGGTTTCTTTATAACTTTAATTGTTGTCTTCTGTCTGACAAATGGTGTTTGTCCGATGCTCCCCGTTGTTTTCTGTATATAGTGTACCGTAAAGGTGATTTTTTAGGACACAAAATGGTTTGCTACGTTTTGAAAGCCTTTGGCAAAATAGAGAACTGCGATGTCTACTTGTGACCTGTTGGTGTTGATGTACTTGAATCTTGCTTGGATCGATTTCATGGGTTGATGAATTGAGTTGGTCTTGAAACAAACATATTGAATTCGTTTCAAGACCGACTAATTATATAATTCGTCAACGTGTTGCTTTCCGTATTAGCTATTTTGCCTGTCTAAGTGATCAATATATGTGAAACTGATGCGTTATAACATGTTCGAGGTACTTAATGAAAATGGACTATAGTTCACAGGTTTATTTTGTACATTTAGACTACGTTGCAATCCCGTTGATATCGCTTATTGATTTCTGAAAAATGCACTGAATGCATCTGTCACTACCTTTTCTGTGGATTTGATCTGGTCGTGAAGCTCGGGATTGAGTCTATCCCTTCCCCGTATTCTGTTAATAATATTCATCATGGGCATGTGCTCGCCATCTCCTTCTTATGTTAATGATATGACGTCTTCCTTGGCTATTGAAAACGTTTTGATGTTGTCCATTTTTCCTGGGTCTGACATATTGTTGCAGTGTTCAAAGTTGCACGTACAGTGTATATTTTGTTTGTTATTGTAGATTATATTTCCTAAGACGCTGTCCCGATTGTCTTTATCTTTTCTTTCCATTCTTGTTGATTTTCTATGTTCCTGAGCATCCCGTTGTTCATCTCAATGCCCTATATCCGTGATCTGGAACCGTTGTATGGGACTTTTGGGGAATAATATATTAATTCGTTATGATCACGAGCTATTACTTGCTTAAAGGGAAGAGTAAAACTGATCACGAGGAACAAAATGCCAGCAAAACAGACCTGCACTTTTGCTTAGAAGGATAATATATTTCACGAGAGGAAGATATTCAAATGTAACCAAAAAGCCCATATTCCATCTTAAATGGTAATATCATTTTTTTCACATTTTTTTTTATCATGACATTGTATGACTGAAATGTTAATCATTGTAATAATAAACGGAAGTACGTCACATCCTAGCAACCTCGAATGGAACTACGTCACGTGTTTCCAAAGCATTCCAAACACTGAAAAATATCTCTTTTCATCTTCGTGTACATTTGGAAGTAGCAGATCGTCATCGTACACCCATCGACATACGTTTATCACATGTATTTATGTTGTTTAAAGTAAACAAACATTTTGAAATAACATGCAAAGTGTAGGGTTAGCTCACCGTTATACTTTACGATGCCCACACGGCTGCCTAAAACTGCATTCCTGAATTTCAATTTTAATCAGCGTAACAAATAGCCTTACATTATTCTTTTCAGTCTTGAATTCAAACCCAGGACCTCCGATTACACTACGGCTGCTCCGATCAGCTGAAGTACCTGATCAGCGTCAGGTACTTGTCCTACTTTAATTTTAGCATACATTTAACATTCAATTGTTTCATTTGGAAAAAAACACTATATATTTACAAATTAAAAATAAAAACTAAACCACCGTATCATTTTTTACACAAGTCATCCAATATCTTTATATGTAAGAAAACTGCATATCATTTGTTTTTACTGAAAAAGCATTATAGGAATTATGATTATGCATATTTGACTGGTAACAAAATAATTAATTCAAATATTAAAAAAAACATTTCCGTTGATTATTAAATTCGTTTCACTCATATGCCTGTATATGTTTTGATGTTTTCAAGGGTGAGCAAGCACATAAAGTACTGTGACGGTATAAATTATTCATTAAACAAACTCGAAAATATCTGTAAGACATAAATGCCCCCGCTGCCATGTGAAATCAGTTTCAGTGCTCTAAAAACGTTACAACCACTTTGATCTTGATACCCTGAAACATGCACACACACAAGGTACTATACTTAAAGTTGATAAGTTGAATTTAATATTTTTATGTATAACATAACCTTTATTGAATGAAGTTGCATAGTGTTTAAATTGAATCAGTTGATGATTTTCTATATATAGCAACATTGACCTTGGCCTTGACCTCGGAACCCTGAAACA